ACCCTAACCCTAACCCTAACCCTAACCCTAACCCTAACCCTAACCCTAACCCTAACCCTAACCCTAACCCTAACCCTAACCCTAACCCTAACCCTAACCCTAACCCTAACCCTAACCCTAACCCTAACCCTAACCCTAACCCTAACCCTTCCTTACACAACTGCCCCCTAGTTGGGTTGTGTGGTCTCGCTCTGTCCGGGGGCGGCGCGCTCAACGAATTGACTTAGGCGGACGACCTCCTAATTCTTTCTTCTTCTTCTCTATTTGCAAGATCGGGCGCCGCTATGACACCCAATGGAGGCCATAGCGACGTCCTTTCTTTTGCAGATTTTTGATCTTCTGGAGATAAGGAGAAAAGATACAGGACCGCCATGAGGGGGATACTTATACTCCTGGCGGGTAGGGATTTCACGGTACTCGTCACCCTTTTTTTTTTTTTTTTTTTTTTTTTTTTTTTTTTTTTTTTTTGTGTGCCTCCCTTCCTTTTACGAGTTATCCTCGCGGATGGAAGTAAGAAGGCAGGAAGCCCAACCGGGGTTCTGTAGTAGCGACGAGTATGGCGTGCGCGACCTGGGCGCGGCGGTCAGGTATCATAACCCTCACAGTCGTGCGATGGACGTAGCCGGGGTCAACTTCCCGGTATTGCAGCCCCTCGCTCGTCTCCCGCAATTGCTGAGCCTGGATATCTTCGGGCAGCTCCTCGTCCTCAAAAAGTGGGCCATCAGCGTCTTCGTCAGATGACGCCGCGGCATCCCCCTCCTTATTCAGCAGCGTTCGCGCTAGGTCTTCTCTGGCGACATTCTCTGGGTCTCTTTGCACGAAGCGCTTAATCCTGTATCCGGGCGTTGGATTACGGAAGGGTACCCCATCCAATTCAGCCAGGCGATAGTAGTTCCGGTCTGGGTTGACATCATGGATCTTGTAGGGGCCGAGCCACTTCTTGCTCAGTTTCTTGTTCGTGGATCGGTCGAAGTCATTCTGTTGGGAGTTCCATAGCAGGACCAGGTCCCCCTTTTTGTAATTGTCGTGTTCAATTTCTTGGGTGGCGTCCCAGTATTCCTTCTTTCTTGCTCGAAGCCGCATTGTCCTTGCGGTTGCGAGCTTCATATGCCTGTCTCGCAGATCCAACTGAGCAGCGCGTATCGCCAGTAAGTCAGCGCGCGTCCGTACTCGACCAAATGGTAAAGTTTGCCAGGTTGGAATCTCCATTTCCACAGGGAGAATAGGATTCTGGCCCGTCACTAACTGCAGTGGGGCATATCCGGTCGGTTCGTGGACTGAGCATCGGTCTGCCATCAGAACAGTTGGCAGATTGTCCGTCCATTTCCCACTTAGCGACGCCAGGGCTTTCTTTATCGGCTTGTGACCGGACTCAATCATTCCCATCGCCTGCGGGTTGTATGCGGATGACTGAAGGCGGCGTATTTTGTATACCTCCAGAAGCATTCTCGCTACGTCCCCAAATTCAGGTCCGCCATCAACACTTATTTGCCGCACCATGCTCCATCTGCAAATGATGTCCTCATACAGGAACTTCGCAATGGCGTGGGCATTATTTCTTTTCAGTGCGCGGGCCTCAGGCCATCCAGATAGCGCCTCCCGAGCAACCACCAGGTATCGGAATGCTCCTTCTCTTGGCATGTGCACTACGTCCACATACACATGTTCCCACAACGCGAAGGTTCGGCTGTTGATCATCATGTCCTTAGTTCGTTTGGTGTCCAACATCTGACAACTCTCACATTGCCTGAGGGTTCTCTTTGTATCCTCCCAGATGTTTCTCCAATGGTATCGCTGTGCGATTACTGTTGCTACTGCATTAATCCCGCGGTGGCCAATTTGCCTATGGATTTCCCAGATCAACAGGACGCGCAGGCTGGGATGATCGACAACCCGGCGAATAGCCATGTTCCGGCTGCTTTTCTTGAACAGGTGTCCATCCTTCGCGAAGAATGTTAGGGCATTTTTCCGCCAGGCTCGCGCCTTCCTAGGGTCCATTCCTCTTGGGGTGCGAAGGGTCGTCAGATATTGTGCAATTTGTTCTGATTCCTCTGAGTACCACTCATCGAGGTACCGCCCGGCGGCTTCGGTTCGTTCACCTGCGGCAGCTAGGAAAGCTCCATTGATTTCCACAGCAACATGTTCAGACAGGGTGTGGTCAAGGAAGGCTTCCAAGTCATCGTCCGGTTCCATAGGTGGTTCGAAATCGTCGTCTTGTGGCATCCGGGACAGCGCGTCGGGAATCACATTCTTCTTCCCTTTAACATGACGGATGTCGAAATCCCACATCATAATCGCCGCCAACCATCTATTCATCAGCGACCCAGGGGTCTCTGATGATGTTCGATTCAGCTGCGCAATAAGCGTTTGCGCGTCCGTCTCCACCACAAAGTGGACCCCGTATAGGTAGTAGCGGCATTTCTTAAGGGCCCAAAGCAATGCGCGGCATTCTAGCTTGGTAGAATGCCATTTCCGTTCGTCCGCTGACCATAGGCAGCTCTCATATCGCACAGGATGCCTAAGGCCGTCCCGTCCAACTTGCTCCAGCAAGCAACCAGCTCCGTCACCACTTCCATCTGTCCCTAGGATGATTTCTCCATGGCCCTCTGAGTAATCGAGAGTAACCAGTGCCGGCGCAGTTGTTATCGCCGTCTTGAGTTTGTCCATTGCTTCTTGGTGCTCATGTGTCCAGGCAAACTCAATATCCTTTCTCATCAGCTGGAATAATGGCTTTGCAACCAGTGCAAAGCAGAAGATCCAGATGCGATAATACACCACAATGCCTACAAACATGCGGACTTCCTTTGGGTTTCGGGGGGCTGGCCAGTTGACTATCTTCTCAATCTTCTTAAGTTGCGGATGTCTTCCTTCCGCATCCACTTCATATCCTACTACTTCTATGCGATCCCAGCCGAAGTAGCATTTCTTCCCTGACACCGCTGAGCCTGCTCGCTCGATGTCCGCAAGCACTCGGTCCACTTGCTGTGCATGTTCAAGCACGAACTGTCGGATGCCAGGAAGGGCCTCCTTTCCTCCGTAGTCGTCTTTTGATCCTCCGCAACACACATCGTCAATAAATGGTCGGCAGTCGTGAGGATATCTCTCAGATAGCATAAGGAGAATTACTCGAAGGAACGCAGCCGGCGCATTCGTTGCTCCCATAGGCAGGGTGCAACATCTTAACAATCCGAGCATGGTCTGGAACGCTGTCATATCTCGGCTTTCTTTCGCCAACAGCATCTGATCATATCCTGAGAAGAAGTCCACGAGGGTAAGGATCTTGCATCCCGCGTAGTATTCAGAGAAGTCGTCGGCGCACGGAGGCAAGGCGGCGTCTCGAATAGTCACCGCGTTGTATTTGATTGCATTCATAATGAGACGATGCCCTCCGTCCTTCTTTGCAACCAAAAACCAGGAGTTGCGATACTGGCTATCGCACTGTTCTAGAACCAGCTTATCAATCCTTTCTTTCAGCATCTTTAGGACTTCCTGCTCGGCGGACTTTGGCGGTTTGAATGAATTTGCCTGCCACGCAGTGTGTGGTTTGGTGTGGATTTTGTAAGGCGGGGATACTTCTGGGTGTATCCTGCCTGATTCTCTGAAAGTGAAAGCAATCGCTGCTTCTCGATTAAGTAGCATCTGCTTGAACATGTCCACCTCCTGTGGTGATAACTGATTTCCAAAGTGAATGGATCTCATCCTCTCAGGATCGAGGCGTTGCCCTCGGGGGAACGACGCATGCCGGCTCTCAAATAAATGGTCCATAGGCCCGATGTCTGGTCCTCGTAGACTCTCGCGGAGCATCTGTCGTTCTATGGCGGCTGCCCGCCATTGAGGGTTTCCCAGTTCCTGTTCTGTGCTGACCCTAGGCTCGTCCACGGGCCGAATCTTGTCAGCGACCTTCTTGTGCATTGTTGCCACTTCGAATCCTTCAGTTGTTCTGTTCGGCTTCCGGAAGTGCGTCTTCCTAATGGCCTGTCGCTGATTTTGCCGGACAAGCTCTCGTAGTTCCATGGGTCCCAGCCCCATGGCGTTCATTCGCTCCTCCTCTTGTAACAAATATTCTTGGACGGCAGCAAATGCTTTCTCACTTTCTATCGAGTTGGTAAAGTAAGACATCCACTGCTCAGCTTCCCCAATCTCAGCAGCTTTGTCCATAATCTGCTGAAGTTCCTTGCGCGTCATCCTCACATCTCGCCCACTACTCTTCTCTAGTTCTTTCATGTTGCTTCTGCCCCATGGTCCCCGGCTTAGGGAAGGACACGCAGCCTCTGGCGCCGCTGCCTTCCTCTCCTTCCTCCTGCTATACGCGGAGCCGGTGCGCTCAGCAGGAGTCTTATCGTTGTTATTCATCGTACTCCTCCGTTCCCTGGTTGGGCGGGGAGTCTTCGTAGTCCCTCTTGTTCCAAGTGGGAGGGTCGGCTGCCAGAAACATGGCATTTTGTTTTCCAGTCAGGGCCAGGATTCGGCACGTCACTCTTCCGAGTGCAGTATATTGCAGAGCTAATCGGACCGACGCGCACCAGGGCGCCCCCAGTATAACTGATCGGGAACAATGTGTTACAACTCGGAACGTCGTTGGCACAGTGACCGCCCCTATTCGGACCGGGACATGCCATGCGGTGCCGATGAAGGCTTCCATTGCCCCCGTCGCTCCCCGCATCTGCCCGATAGTTCCGTCCATGTCTTCTTCAATGGCGATTCGCAGCGCTCGTGCAGCGCTCAGTCTTATCAGATTGATTTGTGAACCTGTATCAATAAGGCATTCGGCGGAATGTCTTCCAATATTGGCCCATGCGATCGGTAATTCTCCAGCGACCCGCACTACTCCATCTGTTCGATGTCGTTGGTTCACTGCTTTTCCGGGGATGTGGTCCAGAGGTTCTTGATAGGTATCCTCTTCTCCGCCCACATGATGGCGCATCCCCGCATTCACCTGAACTTCCACATTGTTCACCTCGTATCCATCCCATCTACCATATTGCTCTTGGTAGTCGGCCCCACTAGTGGGGTGGTCTCGACCAATCAGATTTAGTTGGTTGTGCCCAACTGTTTTTGATTGGTCCTGGATTCGGCTAGCGCGCGGCGCTAGCGTCGTTTCGTCAGGGTCCGGTCCCAACTCATTCCGAACACAATTCTGATGTCGCGGCGTCTCGACATGCGACGTTTCTACTGTTGGAGTAGGTGAGGACTCGGGGGTTTTCTTTTCCTCCCGCTGTTTTAACTCTTTCAGCAAGGGGCTCAGGATAGTAGGATGATCCAGCAAGTCTCGTAAACGGAGCCCCTTAATTTCTTGCCCTAGGATCCGAGATAGGGCAGGATCTCCCTCTTCCTCCTCCTCGGGTTCTTTCCTAGGTCTAGTCGCTCGAGGGGGCTTGACCACCGCATATGGGTTATTGTGAGGCTGCGCTTCATATGGGATCGACAGTTCATCCAATTCATCCTGGTCGTCCATGACAAGGTCCCCAGGCAGTCGGCTGTTGCGGATCTGCTCCTGTACCCGCTCGTACGTTCGGTCTCGGGCAGGAACCCTAGTCTTCTTTACTCGGGCGTCGCGCACCCGATCGAGCGACTCCTCAGTTGAGTCCCCCTGGTTCTGAGATCGGGTAGCCGCGTTGCTCTCGGTGATGTCTGGGTTGAGAATAATATGTCTCTTATCAATCTCATCTAGTAGGAACACTTCATTGTCGTTATCTATCATTGCAACTCCGCGGTTAAACATTACTCGCTTTTGATTGGCAGAGGGTCCGTTCTTCTGAGATGCTTCTTCTGTGATAATGTTTGCTTCTGCGGCCTTGGCTATATCGGGACAGACTTCCGGCATAGGTCGAGCGAGCGATTCCGTAGTAACCTGGTATCGATTCGCGCAGCACTGTTGCAGCCATGTCAGGATCCCTCGCTGAGGTGGTCTTCCGTCCGAGCCTACTAGCCCTAAGCTCCTGTTCACACTCCCAAACTTCCATTTCCACTCTCCATCTCTTCGATCCTTGAACTTGCTAACCCAGCCGCGGTTTTGCAGGTCCTGGAGGTGATCACAACCAGACACCCCATGTCCCTTCTCTCCGCAGCCCCAGCATTCCAAGGTAGACTTTTGTTCCCAAGAACCCTCGTCTCTTTTTGGCTGGTCCATAGCGCGGGCTTGATACGTGGCCATAGGTGGGTTGCCCGACCTAGGCCTTGCGGCGGTAACAGCCACAATGAATCGTGCCATGTCAGTCGAGTGCTTGAAACATTCACGCTGAATTCGTTCCTGGCTCGCAACCATCACCGCGTCCGCCATACTCAAGGTCATCCCTTTAAACTTCGATATTAGGTCGTCAACTGGATCCGTTTCGTTAGTGGATCCGGTGGCGGTTTCATGTCGTTCTCGTGCTGCAGTAGGCTGAGTTGCTTTTGCCAATGGCTTCGCCTCCTGCTCAGCCATGTACTGAGCCTTGCGCCGGAGAGAAGAACTGGTTTCATCTTCCAAATAGCGGAGCTCCTTCTCCGCTCGTACTCGTCTCTTAAGAAAGGCGTATATCTTGTTCAGATCGTATGGCGATGTGCCGTCGTCAGTGGTTCGTTCCGACTCAGGCATATCGAACATCACCTGGTGTCGGTGCTCTGGCTTGAGGCCCTTCATGAACCATCGCCCTCGGGAGTTCATGGTGATTTGCCCTTTATCGATGCATGCATTTGAATAAATGCAAAACCGGGTGTAGTAAAGTTCAAATGACAACTTGCCATGAGAGCTTTCCTCCACAAACGCACGCAGAAACGCCTCAGTCCCCATTTGCTGCTCTGGGTCCAGGTCCTCCCAGTGCTCCTTCATTACCTTCTGCAGGTCCTTCCATGACCCACTCTTAAACGCGGGGAGTTGCTTAATCAGCAGCTCCGGCTCTCGGTCACACCACTCAGGAAGCGTACGCAGCTTCGCCAAGTCAGTATACCCAGCATTGTTGCAGATCCGATTATAATCATCCAGAAATGCAGTCACATTTTCCCCAGAAAAGGACAGTTCCTTCCCTCGGGGCAATCGCAATTGAGGAAAGCTCCTTCGGTGCTCTTCCTCCTCAAGATAGTCCTCTGCGCGGTGCGCGTCAGACTGGTGTTGGTGTTGGTGTTGGGTAGACATAATGCTCAGTGGTCGATGGTTGTCTTCGTCTGGCACTATGTCGGGATTGTTGTTAAATGGCAAGTTTTGAAGGAACTCGTTCAAACTGTTGCCTCTCTCGGTAGTCATCTATTGTGTTGTAGTTGGGGATAGCAAGGACGGGGGTCCCACTCTCATCACCAAAATCTATGCCGTGCTATGGCTCTTTTCCAACTCGTAAGCTATCAACAGGTTCAATCACTCACTCACCTCAAATACCCTCTGAGAACTGTCTCCTTACAGGTCCGTAGCGATAAATAGGCTGAGCAAGCTGACAACTCTTGTCACCGTGCTACGCAGATAGGAAGCAAAGACCACAACTAGTGTCACAATAGATCTCAAACGTAGGATGGTTTTTCACACTCTGTATATTCGACATCTCTCTATGTTAGGTGCTTCTCCTCCTTATATACCACATAAGAAGCAGCTATCCTAGGTTGCCCTGCACTCCTGTTGCTTCAGCTCATCAAACTGAGACCGGAGAGAGCTCTTCCTTTGTCTCAATACCTAGCTTCTTCCTTGTACATAGGAAAAGCAATGGCGACAGCCAGGTAGGTGCCTGTGGGCACGTACAACTATCATTCAGTACACCTAAACAATCAGTCTATCTAATGGCAACTGAGTGCCCGCAGAGTAACAAAAGAAAATTTTGTAATGGGTGTCCTGCCACGGCACACTAGTAATAGTAAAAGATAGCTCTTCTTAGAAGGTATCCCCTTCTAATAATTTAGAATAACACTTATCTCTATTTAGTGCTCTAGGTGCGCCTTTTGTGCGCTCTCGCTAAGCTGCCTACACTAACTAGTAGCGCCTTAGCAATATTAATCCCCTTTAACACTAACTCTTATGCGGCAATGTTACAAAACCTCCCTTTCTAGCTAACGTCTCTAGCAGCCTTGCCTTATAGTCCCTTTATGTAGAACTTGTTTGTATAGTATGCGTACGTGCGCATGTGTGTAGCGCTAGTTGTTGTTTAGGTATGTAGTTAGTGCGCGTAGCGTGCAACAAGTGTAGCTGCTTGTTATTGTTTGCTGCCTTAAAAAATCTAACGTAAAGTTAAATTACGCAGTCTTAGTGCTAGCCCGCTTAGGTTGTTTATATCTCTGTTGTTAGTTGTTTTGCCTTATTGCTCGTCGTCTCCTCTACTCTCTACTTCCTCTTGCTTAGCGCACCTCTCTCGCACCATTAACGCTTGCTAATATAGTTTACTATCTGCTCCCTAAGTATATTAAGAAATCCCACCTCTGCAATGCAGCTCCCTTTGCTTAGAGCAATAGAGACAAGCGTGCTAACTATGTTGCCTAAGTAGCAACTTACCTGCGCTGCGCTCAGAACATCGCCAGCTAGAAAAAACCCTGCTAGAAGGAAGAATATTGTTATTGTAGCTATTGCTCTAAAAACAACTAGGGCCAGTGCACTTTAGTAAAATTCCTAGACGTCCGCTTTACCTGCGCTTTTGCTAATTGTTGTAGGCTCATGCGCGCTTTAACGGCCGTGTTAATTATCTATATTAGCTTTGTTATTAATACAACAAGGCTGTTAAAGCTGCTGCTGCCCCTTGCACAGATGTTGCAGTGCGCTGTTACAGCGTAAAGCTTACGCTCGCGCAGCGTTAATTTAATTTAGAGCTTTTAGCTTTCCGCTGTTAAGCCGCTTACTCTAGTACTTCTGTAGGTTTGCCTACTCAAGTTTCTACTTCTACTGCTAATTACTTAAGTTTAGTTCTTGTTAAGCAGCGCCGCATCGCTGCCGCCTTAGAGCAGCTTGCTAGTCTTGTAGGCCTTATTATATGTTTACCTTTAGTGCGCACTTTAAACGCATGCTAATCGCTCTATAGATAAATTGTCCTAGTGTAGGTAATAAGGATTTATCCTTAAATAAATCTTCTTCTTCTTCTTCTTCCAATAACAATAATAGCAATGCCAACCAGACTGCCGCCCCTGTTAGGGGTTCTTAGAAAAATCAGGGTAGTGCTTGTAGCAGTTATAGCAGTAGTTTAGCTTATAGCAGTTGCGCTAATAGCGCAGCTGCAGCGCGTGTCCCTCTTCTAGCTAAGAGCAAAGATAAAGATAACAATAATAAAAATGTAGGCAAGGATAAAATTGTAGGCGAGGATAAAGAGTAGGGGATTTTTTCCTATCTATGTATAATAGCTTTTCTAGGGCTTGCTCCCCTCTTTAACAACAAAAGTGTCTCTTATGCTCTTTACTTGCGCTTTTGCCGCGGTGCTTTTTTCTCTTTTTTAAATTCTTTAACTAACTCTTGCATGTTTCTAAAATCTAACTCTAGTACTTAGCTATCCTAAGTTTTATTATATCCTTTCTAACAGATAAAGTACTGAATTTTCCCTTTGTGAGTTCTTTTCCCTAGGATTTTTTCTGCCTCCCAGAGTTCTTCTCCCTCTAAATTAATGTTAGGTGGTTAGGTATTTAATTCTCCTTAACCAGGCCTAGGTTTCCAGCGTTCTAGAAGGGAAACGTGAAAGACGTTATAAATACAATAGTAAGGTAGGAGCATTAGGCAGTAAGCCTGCGTTCTAATTGCGCGTTCTACTCTAAAAGGCCCTATAAACTTGCTAGATAGTTTCTTGCTTAGTTAATAGGTAAAGTTAATGTTCTTTATGCTAAGTAATACTAGGTTACCTTAGCAGAAGATTTCTAGTCTGTGCTTTTTGTTATAGTACTTAGCTTAGTACTGTTGCGCTTTTTAAAGCTACTCTGCTAGCTTCTTTCTTGCGTCGTGCATGCGCTTTACTCTATTCTTTACCTTTAGTACCTCTCTCTTAGCCCTGCTATCTCTAGGAGGGTTGTTAAAAAGTAGATGCTTTCTATATACAGCGTAAAAGGGGGTTGTTTTTATAGAGTTGTAAATTAAGTTATTATACGCAAATTAGGCTAGCCTTAGCTAATTTACCTAGTCTGTTTAGGCGTCTGTTGCGAAGGTTCGTAGGTATTGTTCTAGAGTCTAGTTTTAGCGTTTGGTTTGGCTGTTAGTTTAGGGATAGAAGCTTGTGCTTAACTTGCGCTTTACCTAGAGCTAATAGCAGATTTCTGTCTAAAATTAAAAAGTGAAAATTATGCTCCTGTCTAATACAATCCCTTTCTAGACGCTGTACGTAAGTATTACGTTCTTAAAGTATGCGCTAGCAAATTACTTAGCGTCCTATGTTTTTAAAGCAGGAATATAGATAGCTATCTTTAAAAAACAGTCTATAATTACTAAGACCGCATTATAAGCGCAGCTTCCACGCTCTTCTCACTTTGCTAGAGGAAACTCTGTAACAAAATTTAAAGAAACTTCTTTAAATATATCTTGCGGGATAGGTAAGGGACTTAGCTTTTTATATTTTTAGTATTTTAAAGCTTTACTCCTTTAACAAATTACGCAAGTCTTAACGTACTTCTTAACATCTTAGTTCAAGGATGGCTAATAATAGACCCAGCTAATAGACTCTTGCGTTTAGCGTGCGCTAAAGTGGCTAGCTATGCGTGTATTATAATATTGTATTATAATTTCTTACCTAATAGCTACATCTTTTAGGATGTACATTCTGCTATTGTACTTTAGAACTTTGTTCTTGTTAAGGCGCTATGCTTGCGCCTTTCTGCAGCTTTAGGTGTTCCTTCTTTACTCTAAAGCTGCTATCTGCTCTTGTGCAAAGGCGTCCCCTTGTTAGAGCTAATGCAGTACCTTAAACATTAAATTCTTCCTTACTGTTGCAGGTTTGCTACTAACTAAAACCCTAGCTAGTAAGCGTAGCACGCATAAAAGGCCTTCTATAGCACTAGTAGTACATTTGCGTTCTGCAATGCTGCTCTAGGGTGTGTGCTTTGCACCTGCGCTTTCTAGGCTCTGCCTGCGCGTAATTCTAGCAACTCTACTCTAATTTACTCTTGCAAGTATTTTATTCTAGAGTGTTAGGAGCAAGCAAGTTAAGGACTTATTCTGCTGCTTGTAGTCCGCCCTTCGCAATAGGCTATCAGCAGGGTTATTCTTCCCTTGCTAATGTTTAACTTTAAAGTTAAAAGCACCTAGGTATATTGTCTAGCGTGCTTAACAAGAGTTTAGCTTTTATACAGCGCGCATGCTGCGCAAGTTGTTATAATTAGACAGAACTTTAATAGTGTGCTGTACACCCTCTAAGTAATGTTACTATTATTTAAAGCTAAACACAATTGCTAAAAGTTCTTAGTTGTAGACCTTGTAGTTAAGCTCTGCTTCTTAAAGCTTCCTAGAAGCAAAAGCGACTAGATGCCACTTAGCGTCTTTAAAGAGTTAGGAGAGGATGCCTAATATAGCAAAATTTAAGGCATCTGTCTTAATGCGTATTTAGCGCTTTAATTTAAAATGGCGCAGGATAGGCGCACTTATAAAGAGCGTTTTAAGCAATTTAAAACACTCTTGCGCTTCTTTACCCTATTTAAATTCTTAGCTTCCCTTTAATAGTTTTGTAAGAGGTATTGTCCTTGCTGCATACTTCGCAATAAACCTCCTATAGAAGTTAGCAAAGCTAAGAAACAACTGTAGCTGCTTAATGTTTGTTGGCGGCAGCCATTCAGTAATTGTCTATACGCGCTTAGGATCGGCGCATATACCGCGCGTAGTAACTATAAAACCTAAAAAATAGACCTTATCTACAGCGAAGGTGCACTTATCTAGATTTACAAATAATTCTGCTTTTTTAAGAGATTAAAGTACAGCGCACACTGCGCGCTAGTAAATCGCAATATCTGCGTTGTAGGTGTAGATAAGTATATCATTAAGATACACTACGCAAATGTAGTCTAAATGTCCTCTTAAAGCATTGTTAATATAAGCTTAAAAACTAGCAGGGGCGTTAGTAAGGCCAAAAGGCATTACAAGATATTTAAAATAGCTATATCTCGTTTAGAACGCTGTCTTCCACTCATCCCCCGCCTTAATCCGCAATTAATAGTAAGCGTCTTTAAAATTTAGAGTTGTATAGTAGCATGCGCCTAACAAGCAGTCTAATATCTCTCTAATAAGTAGTAGCGGGCAATAATCTTTTACTGTTACTATATTAAGACCCTAGTAGTCTACACACAGTTGTAATTTTCTATCTTTCTTAGGAATAAAAAGGATAGGTGCCC